ACATGCATCAGAAGCGATCCAGGAACTGTATTTCTCACCCTACACTCCTTTCTGCTAATTGTCGGATTCGCATACGAGATCATGTGTGCCACTTCGCATCGCTGCGTACCCTAACCAACAATGCTACTGTTACACTAGCATCGATCCGTACGACATTCAAAATTGAAACTAATCTTATGCTCTTACCGTCTATTACATCCTTCTCCTTGGAGTGTCCAACGACCAGCCACCGCTCGCGATTCAACGGACTCTGACTTGGCCTCTGCTTCAGAGGTGCACCACTAGGCTATCATCTCAGCTCGATCCCCCGCCGAGGTTCTCAGGCTAGCACTGACCGCATAGTTGACTTCCTCGCTTTGTGTTACTGTGGCCACCGGTTACGACCACTGCTGGGCGATTTCAGAGCATAAAGATCTCGGCGAGCGGTGGCAGTCGCATCGGCAGCTTCATTTCTCAGTCTACGGAGAAATTTTGCGCGACGACTTAGCTGACGAAGGAGAGAAACAGTAAAACGTTCGCGGAGTTTAGGGAGAAGGCCGCTGTGCTCGATGCGTGGTCGGCTACCTGCTGATGTGATGTAACATGCACGTCGTGTTTCCCCTCGCCTCCTCTCGTCCCATCCGTATGCTCCTCTTTTGGAGTGTTCTGACATGGACTCGCGTTCTCGCTCACACATTCTCGTCGTCGGGATATTCAGTGCATGAGCGGCGCACGCACGCGTTCTCTTCAGAACCTTTTAGGCCACTGATGCGGGTATAACAAGATATCATCTACATCTCACTGGATCCACGTGCGAGGCCCTGTCATCACTGACTCAGAGCTGCTGATCGAGCAGCTACCCAGTGCGACCGGTGTCTTTGGTGCTGGAGAGAGAACAGCTGGTAGACAGCGGATAGGACGGTGAAGGGGCGGATGTTAGGATAGCTTGGCTGTGGTTGACACGTCACATAGCGAAGCGTCCATATCGGCCATTTCTGCATTTTCACGACGTAGTGCGGGGATGGCTCCTCTTCGCCCTCCGTCTCTGCATATCATTCAATCATCTCGACATGGACTACCAGGTCTCGGCCTAGTATTACGGAAGAAGTTCTCGGATATGTCACAAAAACTCCTCCAATGACAGAAGGTGGCCCAAAAACACGGACATTGGTCACCCACCGCGCGCCGGGACGTCCACATTGCAAGCGCAGCGTTGGAAAACTTGACATCCAAGCGGTGCGTCCGTTTATTATTTTTTTCAGACGCGTTGGATGACTCTTACAGACACGCAGCCTTCTGTGGCTTCTTATCAAACAGGGCGGGAGGTGATGAACGAGTGTCTGATCTGACCAGTTGATATTTACTAGAAATGCAAGCGCACTTCGGGAAACGTAATATCGAAGTGCCATCAGAATCATCACCGAGGTCCTTGAGAGGCGACTCGGACACGGTCAATCGGAAATAGGCACTTGGCTCACCGCTGTAGGCTCGTCCACGTCTCTCTCCTTCGTTTTGTCACTACGTCCACCGCCTCAAACACAGCGTATCCACTTCTCTTTGAAATTGTGCGAATTGGATGCGGCGTGCGTGGCGGCTGACGAGGATTGTAGACGCGCGTGGCTACACATGTCCCACATACACCGTGGCACACAACCGTCTATGGGGGGAGCGGGGGGGCCAAGACACACTCGCGTTGAAGGAGAGGTTGCTGTCAATCCGTCGGTTTATCGCAAGTGTGCCCGCTCAGGACATTTTGGGGAAGCCTATGCTGTCGGCCAGTGCATGACGCACGACGGATGGCAGGCCCTACCAGGCTTCTTGGGAGAGTCATCCAATCACACGAGCGCACCGATCTGGATGCCCAGAGTCTGTGCGGCCTGTGGCATGGACGTGGCAGAGCCACGTCTCTGACGCGGGCGGTCGTCGATGTTATGCAGTGGCGCGTTCCAGCTGGGGCGTAAGAGCCTACACGAGAGGCGACACGAGCGGCGGGTGAATGGGGCGGGGCAAGCACGGGGCTTGTGGACGGTCGTCGCAGGCCAGCGGCGCGATCGGCTCCTGCGTGCCGAGTGCAACTCGATTGGCCAGATTGAGGAGACACGACGATCGACTGATCGAGTGGGAGAGGATCTGGCAGAGGGAGATTCGGCAAGGAACCAGAAGAGGCCCCGTCGCCCTTCACACAACCCGAGTCCACTGCTCACTTTGATTACGTCAGTACCCCAGTTACGTGCCACCAATGCAATGGCATGTCCTATGACGAGCCCTGCCTTGACTCCACTGCCAACTGTGCTGATGCCCCATGGGATGTATCGACCTCCCCTAGTTTACACGACACACATCAGCCTCCCCTTCCCGTGGGTATACTGCCTAGCACATAAGTACCTCAAGGCGGCCAGCGCATCCGTTTCGCCCGCCCCGTGCCCCTTCGCGGACCTCCCCTCCAACTCCCATGACTTCCTCGGCGCCCGCCTCATCCTCATCGCTGATACCCCGCCCCACATCCTTCAATGGCCATACATGCTCGCGCATCTAGCACATCCAGCGTGCGTAAAGAGCGCGCGCTCAGGTGTCTGTTTTTACTCTAGATTTGCATACATGCATATATGCGTATGTCAACATCGGGACCCGTACCGGCTTTGCGGTCAGACTTAAGGACTCCAACTCGATGAGACTTGCGTTCTGACAGCTATAGACGAACGTACGCTCTCCAAATCAGAGACTTCAGTAAATGGAGCCTGCATGAAACACCATACTGTGGTAGAGGGAACTGGAGCGCCCTGGCGGGGGCACGGTAGATGAAAAGAGGCGAATCGGTTGGTAAAAGAGGCATATTCGTCAGAGGCCGAATCAGATCTAGGCAGAGGGACTCTCACCAGTTCATACAATAGCCATACCCGCGCGTCCTCTGTTAGCGGTTGTGTTAGAGCGTTGTCCGCTCGTGCTCACTGTGTAGTTCGAGGACACCGCGTCGGGGTCTCTGCATCGGGCTTCTGCATCAGCGTCAACGTGAGCTAGCTACGGATTGGATCAAGGCTACGACTATAGAAATCAATAACTGTTGTACCTAGTTTCGTGAGACTAGTCCCGCTCCTCTCATTTTGCTCTGTCGAATGGCTGGGGCCATGCGACTGTCCGCGGATGTGGGCCGGCGATGCGGCAGCCCCGCGCACGATGCGTTGCTCATGACGAGTTCCTTAGCAAATGGTGAGAGTCGTGGGGGACAAGGTGACAGAGGGAAGAACAACCAGGGACGAGCGTCCAGAGAATAAGTAGGTCATCGCGGAACCGCTGGGCACTCCCTCCGCCAGAGATCCGGATCGTACTATCCGCTGCCAAGTCCTGGGAACCATCATTATATATCATGCATCGAGCGTGAAGTCCTACTGGGGGTCTGCACATGTGTAAGGGGTATGCTCGGACCACGTTGTGGTTGCTCCGGCCATGCAGTGTGATCTGAATATTCGGAGTGCATTCAAGCGAGGAAGAATCGCTGGATGAGATCTTCAGATCTTGGCTCGAGGTGTCCATAGCGCGTCGATTCTTCACTTTAAAAGGGAATGGCGGAGATGGTAGAGAAATGGAAGCCAGACAGCGAGGCGCCGAGTGTGCCTCCTTCGGCATCGACCGGCGGACACGCGCAATGCATCCCGGGCCAAGCTTGGACATAAGTCTTCTACAACAATTCCCCGACACCTTGACTCTGAGTGATCAACGCCGTTGAATGCGATGAATTCCGCAGGTAAGAAAGCCATCTTCTCGTCCAAGCCGCTAAGGCGGTTTACACACAGCTCGTCTGCCGATGGGGCGAATGTGACGCGGACTCCCCATGGCTATATGTCGTTTGGAGATGGATGTAGCAACGAGTCGGCACTCGTCCTGTTCTCTACATGTCTTTGGAAACCTGTGTGAAAGGTATGCATGTTTGAATACCCCGATGTAACGCGATGTTGTTTCTACCAGGCGTCCAGATGACAGTACGCCGGGCGGGGCGATCAAACGAAAGCGAAAGTGTAGCCCGAGAGGAGTCGCTGCGTAAGGGAGGCAAATAGTGGCACTAGACTTACCATCCGTGCAGTGTCGACGGCCTCCGCCAGCGTGTAGGCAGGCCCTAGCAGTGGGATCAAGAAGAGGCGGCGGCGATGCAGAGATTTTCGCTGTTGACGCCGCGCCAGATCCTCTGCGTATGTTCTCGTCATATCCCCCTCGAATACTCCGCGTTGTCCTCACAGCATCACAGTCTCGCAGTGCTCTGTTCCGTCGCTCAAAGTTCGTTGTCGACAGCATCAACGACACTACCTGCCATCCTCATCTATCATTTCGAGGGCCGGATCTCCTACAATCCTGTGTCCCGGCGTAGTATTTCCATCAAGATCGAAGCTTCAAAACCTGTGGCAATTTTGAGATGGGATGGGTTCCTGGGCTTCTCCGAAGGACGTGAGATGTGTTGCTCGGACTAGCCAACGTGATGACGCAGAGCGGTAGGTGCAGCATTTCCTCGGTAAAACTTTTCGAATGCACCCATCCCCATATTGTGTACAGCGATGAATCGACTCGCGCGCGATAATATGCGTTTTTTCAACTCGGACGGCTTCCCCCTCGGGCGAAAGTTGAGTGTGATCCAAGCCTCGGATTGCGATGTTTCGGGAGTGTATGCCCCGGGGTTGGAACTTGGCGATAAGTATGCACAGTCGAATCTTGCTCCTTCCCCACACGTTGCTGATCTCAATCGTGGCTCTAGCTGCGGGAATTCAAGCAGACTCCTGTTCTCCGCGACGACTCATGGTGCTCTACCAATTTCTATGGTCGGTGCGCACGTTCATGCATCTCATCTTCCTGCAGGCATTCGTGCTCTTTTGAAACGCGCGATGAGCTGCAACAGTACCGAGAGAATAACAGTCAATATTCCCACGAATTACAAGTTATAGTAAATTGTCTACTTGTCCGGTTCCTTATCCATCTATAGCTACTTCGCGAACCGACGTCATGATTGCACTGCTCAAGCTTCGTTATCCTGTCCCTCAACCAGACCGCCTACATTCAACAATCTCAAGAGTGGATACATTGCCGGTGAACGTGCCTTCATTCTGTACGTATACAAGCGGTTACTTAACCATCAGGGCCCATCAGAAACTCTTGCTACTCACCATTCCATCTCTCTGTTTTCCCTTGCCAAGATCTATCAGCTCAATTTCCTCGTTAAGTACTGGACTATCATGAGTTGGCTCAGATGAGCTGTCTTCATCCTTGTGATCCATGACTGAAAGTGAACCATCATCGAGAGGTCCACCCAAATCTCCAACAAGGCTGGATGCAAAGTGCAAGCTCATCATCTGCATGTACAGACCTTCAGAATTATACTGAGAAGAAGTGTTTGATGTGTGTGCAGACTTGGAGGCAACTCGAAGGTTGAGCATAAAACGTGAGATGAGGATATAAGGCACACTAACAGAACAGATGAAATGTGGCCACTTAGAATAGGCTTCAAGTCAGATTATATAGAGCACTCACATGTTCACAAATGAAGCTGTGTAATTGAACAAAACCTACAAGCATTGAAATCAGATATAATAGGGTGAGTAAGATCTATAAATATTTACAAATGAATTTTCACTCTGATCTATGAATATCAGCCCTGAGATCTGTAGTGCAAGATCTGTTCTGTATGAAGTAATCATTTCACTAATGTTGAACAATGCTAAAAGCAACAAGTAGCCTTACAAAAAATAAGCTGTTCCTGTGCAATTCCTTAGGTCAAAAAAGCATACTTGATCATTTGCTAGAAACTCACCATCTCTGAAGATAATCAATATTATAGATTGCTTGAAACTATGATATACAGATACCAAGCCTGGTTGGAATGTATGCTTCCAGGTAATCACAATAACAATCATGTTAGAGATGAAGGCTGATACTGCAGATAAAAGAGATACTTTAAATAGATTAATATCATGATGAATTTGACAAGATAATATAGCACACTTACATCTATTGAATCAAGAAATATTAGCACTCATCTCATGTGCACACACCCAAACACTTACCCAAAGAAAACAGAGTCTGTTACATTGGTATTTATCCAACATGCCATCATGGCATCCATTGCAAGAACATAAGAAGATGAATTTAGATAGATATACTGCTTCTACATAAGATGTCATTGATATTCTGAGAGAAATTATGACACACCATATTTATAGCCACAGGCACAATCCCAAATCCAAGAACAAACAATGTGGACCATAAATTAAACCCACTTATGGCATATGTTCTCAGAGCAGCAAATACTGCACACACTATATTAAAAAATATCCAGAGCTAAAGTAGACGCAAGACAAACCTGCTGAGATGATCAATGCTACCATTTCCAACACAGATGTCAGAATGTAGATGGCTTTACAACTAATCTTATTACTGCAGTGTCACAGTCTGAAATAATACAGCCAAACCTCTACTCCATGTAAAATAAGTTTTTGCAGAAGAAGAAGAATATAATGAGACAACTCACCAAATGAGCAGTCACAGGAATATAAGCCATTATATTCAGTACAACATTGAATAAGAGCAGGTATCTGTTGAGGAAGAATATAACTGTGGCCCAAGAAGCAGGACATGACCAGAACAGATCAACTTCAAGGGAGAAGGAGAGCATGTAGTCATAGACAACGAGAGCTACCATGCTAATACTTCATAAACGCGTGAGATGCACATGTAAAGTGACACACCAGAGGACGCATAGATGCAGATACTGCCCAGATAGCTTGTGAGAGATCGTAAGTTACGAGTATCTTCTCGCGTAGTCGTGGTGGTAGACAACTCACGTTGCATCGACTATAAGTGCTAGAGTTGGGACAAAGGACATATCGATGGAAGTCTCACGTACGATACGATGGACGAGAGGGAGCTAAGCAACGAACAACTGAAAAAAGGGACCCGTATTATATACCACTGTGGTACGAAAGACGCCTACTGGATGCATCCTGGTATGCATGGAATTCGATCTGGGTGGTTTGGAAGAATGTTGGCGGAATAAGTACTTCCATTATAGATGTCATTGCGATAATGAAAGCAATAGCAACATAATAGAGAGAAATTTTGAGTGTAACCCTTGCGCAATTGGCCTACAATGAACGTTCTTCGTCATGGTGCCAGCCTACACTGTTACGAAGAGTACGATAAGCATGAGAGATGAGAACAAGACGATTTGCGCGACCCTGTCAGATGCGCTTAACACTCGTCTGGAAGACTGGCATGTATGTATCGACCGCAAAGACACAGCGGAATCGTATCACATGGATCCTTGGCCTCCCTAAGATCGACTTGCCAGTGATCAAAACAACGTCTGACCACAGTGGCATAGAGTGCAATACGGAGATACGTTAACCAAACGAATTACATATCGCGGACAGAGTGGTCTCACTATATCTAGGACGAACATACTCATGGAAGACAGGGGCGTTCGAACGTTGCATGTGGTTGTAAAGGAGGCAGACCAGTGATCCTGAGTCCTCTCAAGTCCTTCGGCCCTTGCGGTTCTGTGAGTCATTGGAAATACAGCCACTAGAGACCCGCTGGTGTCAATGAATTTCGGTTTCGGGCCGGGCAGTGTGAAAGGACATTGGTGATGCCGGCGTTTCTATCACAGCTACGACGGTGAGATGAAGACCATCGTGATAAGCAATAAATTTGGTCATGAGCTTATACATCCACAAGGTTGTGTATTGCTAAGCACAGTGGATGGTACAGCTAGCCGTCCTTCATGAATATAATTCACCTTGACTATACCATCAACAGATCTATGTGTGTAGGCCCAAACATATACTGAGATGCTACTAAGAGATGTCAGCAAAATTGTGAAGTCAATAATTGGTGTGTGAGCACTGATACAGGTAAAATTGATGTTTCTGAGATAATTGGAGACATTATACATCCTTTGGCATCCATGAGATATGTCTTGAAGGCCAGTACACATGAATCAATCACATTGTGCAGTTGATTGGTGTAGGGGGCACTGGAGATGTTAAACAAATAGTGAGACACATCTATGAGTTCTTTATACAGAGCTGCTACAAACAGTTCATGGACACTGTAGATTAGTTGATCTGATCTGATCTATATCTTATCTAGACACACAATTGTTTATCTGATGTATCTGATAAACCAGATATAGTTATAAATCTAGACTGAGTCTAGTAGATTCCAGACAAAGTCTGGAAGAGAGTCTGGCTGGACCTAGCTGCATCTATTGTTCTACAATTTCAGCAGATATGACACATTCTTTTGATGTCCATTGTCAGCTCCCTGGAGATTACTACCCCATTAGGCAGCTGACTCATAATTAGTGTATGGCACCACTTTAGATTTATTATCTAATTGTTTGTACATGTAGTGTTCTCCCTGTGTATATAAACCCCCAGGTGTTAAGGGACCTAACAACTGAGGATCAGGAGTTCAACTTACAACTTGATACTGATACATGTAAGGCTGACACGTTATACTTGTACTAGACTTGTAAACTGAGCCAATGTAGCTAACAGTGGTTTGAGAACATATACTGGTTGAAGCAGAGCTTCAGACTAAGACTTGAATAGACAACTG